TCTCCGGGGCTGTTAACGGGGTTTTTGCAGGGGTGGCGAATCCCCGATGGGTTTTTCCATCGCTTTTACCTATTTTTGCCCTCGTTGCAAACTGGGGGGGAGCTTGGGGGGGCGGGGTTGGCAGCGCCTCTGATTTCCCTGGGGAAGGGGCTGTGGTTTTCCTGGGGAAAAGCCAAAACTGATGAATTTGGGGCTCAGCGCCCCATGGTTTTTTACAGCTCTGCTTGGGAACATCCAACTGATTTTACTGGTTTATCAGCCTTATTCATAACCTTTATGAATTCCTGGTTACTCTTTTTTTAAAAACAATTATTTTTACGGGGGCTATATTCTTCAAAAGTGAAACTTCCAGCCCAAAGAGCCCCGTTTGGGTGATTCCCTGACTTAATTTTATTTCCCATGTGCATTAACATTATTCCCTCCCAGAATGGGAACTTGGCAGCCTCAGCTTAAGGCTGCTCTGACACCGTTCCCAGCTTGCTAGTTCTTATTTTTTTCCCCATCTGCTTCTTATTTTTCACATCTGATTTAGGTGCTGCGGTTTAGCGGTGGGGTTTTTATTTCCCTTTTAAACCCCCCCCCGGCGGGTTTATTGCTGGCGACAGGGCTAAGATCTGCCTGAGCTCGGCGGGATAGCAGGAACTCCGCTCAGTCCTTGCATTCCCGCATTAATCCCGGCTTTCTACAGCCACCCTCCGGCCACGGTTTGCTTCCCCCGAGCGCAGCCAGACTGGTAGAAAACTCCCCCTGCAAACCAGTCGCCTCCCCTAAACCCCCAGCAATCGCCTCCCGCGTTCCCTGCTGTCGTTAAAACCTTGCTGGCCTTGTCCTTGGTGGTTGGTTTAGCGCTGGAGCGGTGGGAACGTCCGATAAACTCTGCGTTGCTTTTCCCCACGAGGTTCCGGATACCAACACCGGCCTCCCGCTTCCCGGAAAACCATCGCCCGGCCCCTCCGTTGTGGGCGTTTCTCTGGGTGCTCATGAAAAACCAAAACAACCGCGTCGCCTCGGCCATGGCTGCGGGAAACGCGGTGGAAAATCTCCAGGAGGAAACCACCTGCGCCGTCTGCTTGGATTTCTTCCGCGATCCCGTCATGCTCCTGGGTTGCGGCCACAATTTTTGCCGCCGTTGCCTCGATCGTTGCTCCGCGGATGCCGCTGGGGCCGGCTCCTGCCCCCAATGCCGTTTACCTTTCCCCAGCGGTGGCTTCCGTCCCAACCGGCAACTGGCCAACGTGGTGGCGGCCGTCCAGGAGCTGGCAAGGCCGGCAGCGGAGGAGTTTTGCCAGCGGCACCACCAACCCCTCAGCCTTTTTTGTCGCCGGGATGGGATCCTCCTCTGCACCGCCTGCGCCGAGCATCGCGCCCACCCCGCCGTGCCCCTCGAAGAGGCCGCTCGCTGGTACAGGGTGAGCAAAACCCTGGCTCCAACACCCTCCCCCTGCCTGGGGGACGCTAAAAACCCAATTTCCCTTAAAAATCAGCCCCCAAAAATATGTATTTTCAGCTGGGGCAAAGCTTTTTCCCCATCTTTCCGGGGGAAAAAGCAGCACCGCAAGCATCCAAAAGTCAAAATTGAGCAGAAAGGCTGCAATTTGCTGAGGGTTAAGTATGCGAGGGGGGGGGGGGACGACAGTTTGGGGAGCAAAACTCTAAATATCAGCGATTCAAAAGCTCCTCCTCTCACTGTTGGAGGGTTCCTGCTCCGCTTCCGGGTGCGGAGGGGAAATGGGGGTCCCCAAAGGGGGTCCCCACCCAGCTGGGGGCGCAAGGAAGGGGGGCGGGGGGGATATGGGGTGTTGAAGGGGCTGGTAGGGACTTTTTAGGGGAGGTCTTGGAGAGATGGGGTATCCCAGCCTGGCTGGGAGGGGCGCAGTGGGCGTTGATCCCTATATATTTATATACCTCTATAGATGTGTGGGTATAGCTATAGCACAGCTATAAAACTGATTATAACGTGGCTATACACGTGTATCTGCTTCGGTGCAGGCGGAGAGGAGGATGAGGATGGGGCTGCCCACGCTGACCATACCCCAGGTGCTTTAG